CCTAGCAACTGTGCTGTCACGCTTGTGAGTACTAGTTCAGGTAGTCACCTGACGAATAAAGTTTTTCCACGATTGAGTACCCCAGAACAGCGTCAATCTGTATATGAAGGAAGACGTGCGAAACCAGTAGTTGCCTCAGAGTGTGCAAAGGACGTTTTGTTGTCACGTGCGCCACGAAGCGACGTGTGCCATCGAAACAGCTCATTTCGACCTTCTGGCATTTGTTTTGCTAACGCTTGCTATCAGCAGTGCTAGTACGTGAAGTGAACAGTACCCTTTATGACGTGATAGGCTATCTAGTCAGCTGTTCGCGTAAACCAGGGTATACAACTACCTAACGATGACGACTGTTGAGAATAAATCTGTACATGAGATCCGAGTATTACGACTTCTCATAATCCTGAAACCATTCTGTGGTTTGTAGCGTTCCCGTTTTTTCTTACTATTATAAGGGATTGTGTATGAAACACAAATCTGTCTAAAGCTTTCTTCGTCACAAAGCAGAATTCTGTCTAATGAGCTACTCTATTTGCAGAGGCAGACATAGCTTGCACAGTAAATCGCAATGCTGTGAGCTAACTGAGAACGTCCCGATTTCATTCGTAATACCTCGACACAAATGTTTAATCGTGTAGTGTATGCCAAGTTGTCCTGAAGTCAGACCCATTTAGCACAAATATTTTCTTAAGACTGATTTCGTCGATTACGTGCATGGTGAAGTCAACTAATGTCTGGCTGTCCTGCACATTCATTTTCAAATCGGATTGATACTTTCTGCAGATTAGTTAACTTTCAACAGCAATAATTACCTTTACTTCGTACCTTTAGTACTTTGTACCTTTAATAATCTACAACTTGAAATTGAGAAGGAATCGCCACTGTATCGCTGAAGAGCGGGTACACAGTGGGCTCGGAAAAAGCGACCGTCGGCATGCGTCAGTGGCGGATCCAGGCGAGTCCGTTCTGTGACGTCACTTCACCGCGACTGCACTGACGCCAGTGTTCCTCCTCGGGGCTAATAGAAAATGAATATTGATGTTATATAGCCCAATATATAACTTCTTTTTTAGGCTGGGTAATACATCAAGAACTTCTGTGCCGACAACAAACTCCGTTGTATGGCTATCAATATCTTGTTACACATCTTTTAACAATTAGTTGTCTTCAGTCGATTCTATCTGCATTCGCAGACGGTTACGACTGCCTCACGCACAAGCCCGTGCTCACCTCGCAATATCATTTTTAACCACGAAATTTAACGGCTAGACGAGCGAAGGTATGCAATTTGCTTAACGAGCTTCATGCATACCTTCGACAGCGTAACACCTGAAGTGCGAAGCAGTGTGTAATTGAGTTGGTGAGGTGGTCTGTCGATCATCTTTAGGTGACGGTGCAGGTGAATGCGCTGTTCGTTGTGTTGTGCGCACTATATGATTACACACTCGGCTGAAGCACTTGAGAACGTTATTCATTTGCATACTAATTAAGCGAAGGTCATTAGAGAGGTAAATGGTATGGTTTCCCGTAAAACATAGGCATGAATCTATTAGGACAGCTTTGTGTCTCTCTGTTTGCTTGGCTGGTGGAGCAGGCTACGGGTATAGTTCAAGAATTTTGAAGAACAAAGTCATGCAGTTGAGACTCTTTTATTTGGCTGTTTTATGAACTTTGTGCGCTACACTATTTTCTAATACTCAAACGCGATACTCGAACATGGCTAGGTATCCATGAAATAATGAGTGCCACGCCCCCGAGAAAGTGATGGTAGTATTTTTTTGCGAAGCCTTTATTAGTGTTCATGTCTCATCCACATAAAAAAGAGAATTATTTATCAGATGTATTTCTGCATCCGGGTCAGAATATGGCATCCACTGTGGACTGCATGGGCTCACTTCAGAAATACACTTCGCGGCTTTTGATAATCTGCTTAAGACGATGTCACTCTAGAACATGGACAACTTGTGTCCCTTGTATGAACAGGTATGCGTATACACGCACTTAGCTCCCTATCGGCTGTAGATCTAGCTATGAATAGAAATGATAACATTCCTCTAATCGGACCAAGTGCATTTCCTGAAGCATTATAAACTTTGCTACCAGACAGTACATTGCAGATTGTTGACACTGATTGTTGACACAGAAATGACACAGAAGACGCTACACACTAACAAGAAACACTGTTGATAGCAGAATTCAGGAAATGTTATTGCTGTTGATATGTCAGTTGATGCGCTTGCGAAACTTCAAATCTCGATTCTTTTGTTTCAATAAGCATATCACGTTGCAGATGTGCCTAATGTATTTTTAATAGGCGAATCAGGTGATGGCATAGATTTTGAGTGTCAATAAACTTATTGATGGTGCTTTTGCGTCTTTAGTCATGGGACTCCGGAATATTGAGCCACAAAACTAAAACATGCATGAGTGCTGCTGGCTGTGCTGCAACTTAGGCTCCATTTACGGGTCAGATAAACTCTCCATAACAGAAAAAAATGCACTGGCAGTACAAAACATATATGAATCTTCAAAGTGGCTCTGTTCTGTCACAGTATTAAAAAAATAATAGATTAGGTCATTATTATTCTGTCTAAAGAAGAAAAACTAGCACTCAAAAATTCCACTTGTTCCATCAATCTGTTGTGCCACATCATATTAGGCAGCACTTCCAATTTCCAAGCGCACAAGCAATTTTACCACTTGTCACCATGAATCTAAAACGACGGAAGCCTACAAAATTTATGCGTGCACGTAGGTGTTTGTGTGTCTTTGCCTTTAACGGATGATACGATGAGACGCTTTAGTAGCATAGAAGCCATGGAGAGACGATGGCTCTTTTCATTCATTAATCGCCTCATTTATTATGTTGCGAAACTTGCCGGCTTCTCAGGCACATCAATTTATGCAGTGCTCATCGATCAGACTACGCTGACACAACCATTACATCATCAATCACATTTGGTACGGGGCATTTCCTGCTTAGAGAGGCGGGAGCCTTTCGATATGACACGCTTTTTTTGTTTTCCTGTTCTCTTCAGTGCACACAGTTTTGATCTTCCTCTCACGTGTTACGTAATTAGCAGTGTTTACCAACAACATAGGCACAATGGCCATTTCATTTATTGTGTTCGACTAATTCAATCGAGGAGGTATTAACGAGAAATGATCGAGAGCAGCTTATACAAAACTCAATGTACGCCACAAGTAAGAATATCACTTTGACTAGGGCGAGTTGGTACATACGCGGATAGGCTTAAGAGTAATTTAGACGAAGACTAAATGAATTAATTAGCACTTGAGCAAGCCTTTTTATGCGCTCAAACCAGCCTGTATTAACTTATACACAGAAGCGCTAGCTAAAAGACGATAAAAACGGTACCCAAGGTCTATAACCAAAAGAAAACAAAAAATTGAATACAAATGCGTATAGCGGGACGAAATATCAGAGATAATATACATTTATATCACACAAAGCAAACTGATCTTCAAAATGAAGAAGGCACGATGATTTATACTCTACAAACGGCATCTTCAAAATACATGCTGACCAAGCGCACGCCGTGAAATGTTTAACTTGTTGGAGCGCGCAAGAAGGCAGTTGTTTTTGTAACTGACGTCGATATCTTTTGTCTAGGTTTTTATTTATTGTTGTTTCATCCTCACGTGCTTTCCGTGTTTTTCGGGGGTGCTATGCACAGTCGGCCAAACTTTGCAAAACTCCGGATATATTCCTAAGCTCTTGCGACATCCCCTAATGAACGAGCCACCAATACGAGAAAGTGAAATCCTCTCTTCAGCGCGCTGAGTTTCATTGGTTACAATGAAACCAGTCATCGCGTCAAGGACGGTCGGCTAAGTTGGGTGGGGTTTTCAAACCAGAGGCCTCTTCTTTCATTTGTTTGTTGTTCCACTGAGTGCAAAAGTGCCCCGATGCAATAAAAATGTCAAAAACTTTTCGTGACGATATTTTTTAGAGGCGCGGGGTGTTTATATTTATTTTGAAGCTTTTGATGCTTGCACTAAGTCTGTTTTAGATTGATCAGCACGGTGGTCTCTGAGATCTGTACTGGCCGAGCGTCTGACAACATCAAATATCAAAATCAAGTATCAAAATTATTGTGCTTTTTGTTCATCATTTTGCTGCATAAAGTTTCCGCCCACGTGGTTTTTTTCGAAAGGTACAAAAAAATGTCAGACCAGCCATCACCAACGAAACGAAAAGTGACAATGCCAGTTTTGCTGAATCACAACATTAACTTTATATGTAGCATTTTGTTGGTCATATAGCAATCATATCAAGTGCGACAATGTATTGTTGCTCTAATCGCATTTTTAAACAATACCTTTTAATCATAAATGTAATAAACGTTACATCTGGTGAAACGAGGTGCATGTGTTGTTTACGGCGAAGTACACGTATGCCAGCTTGTAATCTAATTAAATTGGCTTTGTCTGACACTGTGCCTCGTTTGAATAATGGTAGCAGGAACACATTCTATATTTTAAATCAAGTTATCACCAAGGCCGGCCTATACACTGAAACAAATTACCGCACAAAAGCAGGACTTACAATTAAAACGCTCACATGTATACCAAAAAGATGTGCTTAGTGTTTCAGTCTCTAATGGTCTCTAGTGCGTGTTGCATAAAAAAAATTTCTGGAAGTTTGTCTGATACTGAACTATAGTATTATCATATCGAGAGGTAATTTCATAATTCGCGATGTCAAAATTAAGAACTTCTATGGCAAAGTAAGCAACTCATTGTTGTCTAGGCAGAAAAAAAAGCTCGTATCCAATCGTTTTGGTTTGTTATATTGCGAACTTATTTGCATTGCCACATCGAGTATTAAATAAAGAATCGATAACTCTGTATTAACGTTGTTGTCGTAAACGTAATGAGTATTGTAAGGCGGATTGAAATATCTTATAAAAATTATTTGCCGGCCTTAAGTTTTGCTTGGTGCCCGGTTTTGTGATGTCTTTTTTTCCTTCGCATTGCAGTTCCGCAACTTGGTGAATTCCTTGTACGTGACTGGATACTCCATATCTCTTGTAGCGCTCCTCATATCAATCTTCATATTTTGCTACTTCAGGTAAGCGATTGCTTATTCATTTGTAATATAATATGTAATGCAGTCACGTCATCTTCAGAAAGTATAAAAGCTGTTGGTATGTGGTTCCACTGCGTGTAGTAATCAAGACACAATTTAAATACCGATGACTTTAAACTCTGTCAGTTGTTAGCTTCCATACATGCAATGCTTGTAGCGTTGTTGAAGCTGAATCATCACCGTTTCAACAGTTGCACCAGAACACCTAATTAAGACTAAACAGCCTCATCAAAAGCTCGCCATGAAAGACGCAATGTGTGATAGGATAACACAGTGGACCTTAATTAGTAGTTAGTGGAGGGGGGGCGATTTTGCTCGTTTATCAGGTTTGATTTTCTAATTGTGCAATGCGAAAATTCCTTTATCTTTAATAAAGTAAATCACTCTTTATTGTTCGTGGTTTGAGAAATAAATTGTTTGCCGTTTTTCGTCAATAGAATAACATGAAAATATGGTTATCTAGACGTGGCCTTCACATTTGGAATGCTTGCACAAAGTCAGTGCATTGAAGCTTTTAGTCAGAAATACCAGTCACGGTTTTAGTTACAAATATCGTCTGATAAATTGTTGACTGCAGTGCTGACAATTAAAGGACTACAGCTACATGAATTTAAGAAAATTGTGCTTTCACAGGCTTTATTGGCATATTCTCATTACATTTCTAGAAGTAGGTGTTTTTTTCTGAAGCATTCACAGGTATAACTCTTCGGAAATTCTCAGAAGTTTTAATTATTCGCATTAATATCAGGTGAGCTAGAATGCATAGTTTTTTCAATTCTTCCATTTGTACTTCTTGAGCGCATAACACCAAATGTACTTTCTGTGTGGGGGGGGGGGGGGGGGGCTTCAATTTAGTTCCAATTTTGTGAAGTGTCCAATTCTACCCTTGCAGAAAACTAGAAAACTCTGCCATTAGTATATGACGAGTAATAAATTGATACATGCAAAACTAAAAAGAAAACGGAAGTAATAAAACTATTAAAGAATATGAAATGATTTTGAGCCCTTATGGAAACGTGCGCCTATTTTGCCATTTCATGCAAATGATGTTGTCACAAATTTTATTACCACTGTTGTACAGGTAAATTATGAAACTCCTTTTCGATGCCTCAGCTTGCCTTGTAGAAACATCAAATTAAAATTAGGTTATGAAGCAAATCGAACCACACCAGTCACCGTAGTCAAGTGTTCTACAACTGAGCTACGTCTGTGCCAGCAACCACTTTGCAAAAATGAACCATACAGTTTCCATGTCGAATAAGCAGCCACGTCTAGAGATGTAGTATTGCATGGCAGATGCACAGAATCATGCCAGCGGCCACTTCATGTGACTTGCGTGTCGAGTGGATGGGTGAACGGTGTGAATTTACGAAGGGCGCAGCTACAATGAATTATTACCCCTATTATGATTATCATCATCCGAAACAACCACACCCTCGACAAAATATACGGCTGGGGATGGCGATTAAGATGACAACGGTGACATGGCCACACCGCACGGCTTGCGCCTTTAAGTCCTCTTGCGTCCATGCATGAGATACGCCTTTGATAATTTTACTTCAACATTGCATTCCAAACAATCGAACGTGGAAGGCCTCCGACACTTCATATAAATTATCAAAGCCTTTCGATGGCACTTGCCACCATTTCACCTTGACAATCAGCTGCCATAAAATATACGCATTCTTTTTTTTAACACGAAGGTGTTTTATACCGCGGTCACGGAGGAAGAAACATTTAGCAGTTGCAACTCCGACACTTCATGCGACCAGACAATGTCACATTGCCGGAGAGCCAATTCATGCTGGCGTATTGCGGAAGATAAGAAAATTACCGCTGTTTCGGTTTCGGAGCGAACCGGTCGCGCGCCTTGCTCGGGCTCTGCCGCTGTCAAGAAGCGGGGACGCGGAGCGTGTTCTGCCGCTCTCGAAGTGATTCAATGGCAACTTGAACAAATGTGAAGCTTCCTACTGAATTGACCGCATCATCTGAAGTGATTTCAAGTGAGTGCTTTGCAGTTCGCATCCACGAAGATCGACTTTTTGGCAGCGTTCGACTACCTCTGTGGGCCTACCGGCTAGGCCTACCGGCTAGGCCTACCAATATGGTCATCTACGAAACAGAGGCAGAGGAGCTTCCCTCCACCGAAGCTCTCGATGATGATGAAGGCAGCTGGCGACAAGTGTATGCCAGGGCCAGAAAGCCCGCTTCATCCCCGAAGAAATCGACGCCTGCCATCAACACTTCGCAAGAAGAGTCACCGAAAGCTCTCCCATTGACTCGTCGCAGTGCCCCCAGACCCCCTCCACTTCCAGCAGACGACTACAAAATAGTCCTGTGAATACGTGGAGGCCTCAGCTGGGCTGACACTCCACTTTCGAAGCTCATACATTCCGTCTTAAAAGCGGCAGCGCTCACAAGCTCCCTACATGACCAAAACCGCATCAACTCTGTAAGCAACATTCTGCTCATAAGCACTCCGGACTCGGCACGCAGCGAAGCATACCACGGTATAAAATCCATCAAGATGGACGAGCGCAGCTTTGAAGTGTTCTCCCACATTACCGATCCATCGAATACCAGCCGAGGGATCATGCGTAATATTCCTATGGAACACACATCTGAAACCATCTTGTCAAGTCTATTAGACTATGACAGACTAAGCCTCATCCTGACCGGACGTCCAATGGGTTCCACATCGTCCACCTTGGTCACCTTCAGAGGTACGCGCGTGCATTTCTACATAAGCTATCAGAATGACATCACCAGACGCGTACCTTATGGTCATAAGACGGAAGCCTGTAATCTCTGCCGCAAACTTGGCCACAAACCAGACGTATGCCCAGGCGCTCCTCAGTCTTTTTGTCCAGCGTGTAACATTCCAAACCCACTCCTTGACCACGAATGTGACCCTAAGTGTGTGGTGTGCAACAGTGACTACCCCACCGGCTCGCCCCAGTGACCACAGCTGTACAAGCCCAAACCAAAGCACGCACCCTCGAATTTCCAGCAAGATGCAGCTTTATTCCTCGACCCAAGCACATCTTTCAAGAACGCCCCTAGAGGACGCTCACCCAGTATCACAAGACAGCAAAGCCAAAAAAGCCGCAGCCACAGTCGAAGCCGCAATAAAAGCAATCATCAAGGCTCCAGCCCCCGGACTGGCCCTAGACACGAGGTGAGCTGGGCTGATGTAGCCACCCCTGAAAGCTCTATTCAAAAGCAGCTCAAGCTATTGCAGGATGAGATGGCTAAATTGAGGGCAGAAAATGCAAAACTACGCCTAGAGCTTCAGTCCTTCAAACAACCATCTACCTCCACACACCTCCCCACCTCATCTTTCACCCCTACACCTATCTCACCAGCACCAGCTTTTCTCTCAACCACCCCTGTAGCTATGCACCCCGCTCAACCATCTGCGCGAAAACGAAAAGTCTCGACTCCCACATTGTCATTCGATGAGCGAGTAGAACAAGTCGCAGCGAAACTGAAGAAGGTTGACAAAGAGAAAGAAAAAGTAGCCAAACTTGAGAGAAAACTAGACAATTTTATTACCTTCTCCACGGCTTCCTTGCAGAAGCTACATGAATCCGTGGCCTCAATTCAGTAAGCCATGTTACCGATGCAACAAACCGTAGATAGAGTCACGCAGTGGATCGACACGGGGCACGCTAACCATCCAAAGCTTGCCCAACGTAAGCCAAATCAACCTAGTGAAAACGGCTCCTCGTAACCGCACTGAACTTTGCGTATGGCAATGCAACTGCAGGGCGTTTCGCCGAAAAAGGTAAACCTCCTGCAGTACATAAAATCACAAACTAACCCTCCCACAATCATCGCATTACAAGAAACAAACGGTGTAGTGCAGCTGCCAGGTTATAGAACGCATCAAAACCCGGCTGATACCAAACCAAACACTGCTGTCTTAACTCAGAAGCACCTTACAGTTACGTATTCAAAAATTCCTGACATCGACATTGAGCTCGACTTTATCAGAATACTACTGATAAACTTAACTCGCCATTCCTATACATTCTCAACGTATATAGTAGACCACAAGAGCAAAGGCACCGCTTCGATTCCCTATTTGCCTGAGCTTTATCCTCGGCAGGCAAACACACCCTCCTCATAGTGGGGGATTTCAACGCCTCCCAACCAGCGTGGGGTCACACCGCATCTACACCGAAAGGTAGAGCCCTCTGGTCCCATATTCAGGCACATCGTTTTACACTGCACAACGACCTGGAGGAGCCTATCTGTTTGCGGAACAGCGTGAACAAAGACACATCCCCCGATCTTACCCTCACTCACAATGCCCCCACAATGGTTTGGACTAACAGCAAAACTAATCTCGGCATTGATCATTACATTCGTAGCATTACTTTACAACTAAAATGCAGACCCATTAAACCCAAACCACTGATGCTCAGAGAATGGGGCAAATTTAGAGAGACCCACAACAGAACCGCTCCCTCACGTATTTCAGACCTTACCGAGTGGACTCAAGAGCTTCAAAAAGATGTTGAAACTCACACGAAAACTCTACCCGCCGACACCCTCATAACTACTTTCGACTCCAAGCTTCTACATATGTGGGAAGCAAAACAGTCACTTCTGCGACGGTGGAAACACCAGCGCCACAACAGTAAACTCCGCATTAGGATAGCGAAGCTAGACTAACAAATCGAGCGATACGTGACTCAATTGGCGGCACAACAATGGGGTCAGCTTTGTGAAGGAATGCATGATCCCCTCAGTAATAAACGAACGTGGCAACTTCTTAAACATCTGCTAGACCCCAGCACTTCTCGCGCACGACACTCTCATGCTATCACTAAACTGTTACACAAGCGCAGTGACCATTTAGGACAGCGTTTCGATAACCTCCACATGTCTCATTTACCGCAATTACAAAAGGATTCCATACCATCTTACATAAGGAAACCTAATAAGTCATTAGATGCGCCGATAACGGAAGCGGAAGTTAGGCACGCCCTCGCAACACTACGTACCACGTCGGCTTCAGGCCCCGACCGCGTTAACAACAAAAAACTTAGAAATCTTGACCCTATTTCGAATAAAGCTTTGACTTAGTACTTTAATGACTGTTTTGACACAGGCGTGGTTCGACTTTCGCGGAAAGATGCCAGAGTCATATTTATACCTAAACAGAACAAAGCTCCCTTAGTAGAAAATCTGGGGCCCATTTACTCAACGTCGTGTCTCGGAAAGACTATAAAACATGTGCTTGCACGCCTCCAGAGACACGAGGAGGATAATGGACTACTGCCTCCAGAATTGGTTGACTATAGGGCCTCACTTTCAGAGCAAGATACGATGCTTCGCCTTCAACACGACATCATAGCTCCTAAGCAAAGCGAGGATACTCACGCAATCCTTGGTCTGGACATACGTGGATGATTCAAGAACGTAGCCCACTCAGCTATATATGCTGGCCTCAACCGCATTTCTTGTGGCGCTGAAATGTACTCTTACATCAAAAGCTGCCTCACAGACCACACAACTACATTAACATGGGGACCAGAGCAGTCCTCACCCGTATACACTAGGCAGCTTCGGAACACCTAAAGGGTCAGTGCTCTCTCCAATCCTTTTCAACCTGGCTATGCTACCTATGCCCAACACTCTTCAACGCATCCCTGGCTTGAACTGCTCCATGTATGCCGATGATATCACCTTATGGGTGAAAGGGGGCTCAGATGGACACATTTAAAGCACTGTACAAACAGCTGTAGATATAACAGCAGCACTAACATCTCAGATGAATATCTATGGTACCCCGAGTAAATCAGAGTTACTCCTTCTACCAACTCATCGTCGGAACAAACACGTTGCTATGATCGAAGTTCTCATGAATGGGTGCCTCATTCGTAGAGTATCACACATTCGTGTGCTAGGTTTATTTATCCAAAACAACCTAGTTAATACGCACACTCGAAGCTTTACGCAATACCATTGAAAAAAACCTAAGAATAATAGGAAGAATCTCAGGGAAAAATGGAGGGCTCCGAGAGTCAGAGCTACATTGTGTAATACAAGCTCTTGCGATTAGTAAACAGACATAAAGCCTCCTTTACATTCACCTTAAATGAACAGAGGAGGAATCGGTTTACAAATACGCACCAGAGTTCACAAATACGCGCTAGGCATTGAATGCCTCTAACGCACGACTCCACCAAACAGGAGTCATAAATACCCTATGTGAAATCCGTGAAGCCCACTTAACAGCTCAATATGCAAGGCTCGCGACCACTAGCGCAGGTCACTACATTTTATCGTCTACCCGAATTAACCTCACCTTACTCACTAATGCTAAATACATCATTCCCCAAAACATATACAAACAATTACTCATACCGCCCCTTCCTAAAACATTCATCCAACATATCACTCTAAGCATCGAATCCAAAGAGCAAAAGCTCTTCAGAAAAAACGTTGCGTGGAACCAATGACGTGCTTTATGTCGATGCGGCAGAATACCCATCCTCCTCATTCTATTATCTCTCTGCTGTCGATTATAACGGCAAGGCGCTCACAACTTCATCCATGACTGTCAACTCTTCGGAGGAGGCAGAGGAGGCTGCCATCGCTTTAGGTCTATCCATCCCCAATATCACTATGATTGTAAGTGACTCCAAAACTGCCATACGCAACTTCAGCACAGGTGGCATCTCATCAACTGCCCTTTCAATTCTTAAAAAACATCCTCCCACGCAAGACGTTGGTCTCGTATGGATGCCCGCGCATACGGGGTTGAGTGGCAATGAGGCAGCTCAGACCTGTGCTCGATGAATGACCGACCGAGCGGAGGCCTCTGATGGTGTCTCAGACTACGCGGCCCTTTTCAGCGCGAGACATCGTCTTTTGACCTTCCACGATATGACAAATCACTACCGCCTAGAGCGCACTATATACACCCCCCCTTACATCATGGTGTTTCGCGCTACCATGAAATACTATGGCGCCAGTTATAGACGCGTACGTTTCCTACACCATCTTTTCGCCATCTTATACACCCTGCGATATACCCCTCCACTTGGTGCATTTTCTGTCAACAAAGAGCTAACCTAGACCATATCATGTGGGGGTGTACTCGAAACCCACCACCCTATTCTCTACACATTAATAGTAAGGAGCAGTGGTAGGCTGCTATGTGCAGCTCGGCGCCCGAGGTCCAAGACCAGATCTTGGATTGGGCCGAGAGGGTAGCGGAGACCTACGCTGGGTAGGCTCCTCTGACACTCCACCACCGCACCTTTCCCTCTTGGGATGAATGAAGTTTTTCTACTCCTCCTCCTGCCGCTCTCGTCCAGTAGCGTTTCCTTCTTTTTTTCTCTTGGTCCTGTGTATGCTCACTTCGTGCGTGCTTTCTGCTTGAGCTGTGCGCTCCAAGTTTCGAGCTGTTTGCCTTTCTTTGGGTGACATATTACACTTTCTTGCAGGAGCATTCATACCTTCAGCATGGTGGGCGAAAATGTACGAAATAAACGCTCAGCTTCATCTCTGAAGACATGTTTCACTCTCGTGTTATACCCATTTTAAGACTGATATATTAGCCCCATTTTTAATTTCGAGTGTTACCTGTTGTTGGAAACTGGAGTGATTATAAAAATGGACTCGAAACGAATATTCTGTAAACTTTTTTCCTTAATAGCAATTATACATTTAATTATTCATTTAATTAACTTATTTATTCATACATACTTACAAACTGCAACACATTGTAAGCTATGGCAGCAGTGGCATAACAGTACATGTAAAGCACAGACTAAAAAAATTGGTCATTGCAAAAGCGCGAATAAACCCAAGCAAAATACTTCATCGCTCATCTTTTGCTGAAAGGTCGCTATATTTCTACAAATCACTTATATTTAACTAGCGCAAGATTTGGACTGTGCAATTTACGAACACAGAAGCGTTTAGCAAACTGAAAGCACTGATTTAAGCGGACACAGCGAGCGGAGTTAATCAAGGCATGCATGTACTTTAAGCCTTCTTGTGGTGATGTGTTGCGCAAGTGGTAAGATGGATAATACAGAGATTCGAAGTGAAGAAAATTTTTATCATAATCATGGTAGACAAAGTCAATGGTTTTCTGTTAAATGAGCTCAAGCTTGTTTATATAACTTTTATTTAATGTATTCCAACCTATAGATTCGTATTGAAAGACTGGACGACCTAGTTTTTTGTACATGAGCAGTTTAGTGTGTTAAGAGGCTACTTGTAGGGTGCGCTGGAGATAACCGAGCTTTTTAAAGCTTTTTTACTTGTTATTTCAATATGCTTGCTCCAAGAGAGATTGGCAGTGAATAGACGTTCTAAATACTTGTACTCGGATACTATGAGTAAATAAGAAATATTGAAAGACTGCGAGTAAACTGAGAGAACTAAACGCCTAGTGAATGTCCTTGTAACAGGTATCGTGAAATTTATGCTCTTCTAATGATGCCATCTGTAAAAGTGTCAAAACGCGCCTTTAGAAACTTCGTGGTCTTCAGCAGAGTTAATAGTGCGGTAAAAATGCAATCATGGGCATACAGACGTGTCTAAGTTGTTATGCTTTGTGGTAAGTCATTAATGTAAACTAGAAAGAAAAGAGCGCCGAGGACTGTACCCTGTGGTACGCCTAAGGAAAGATCAACAAAATGGGAGTTCGAATTATTGTAATGTTTGGAAATGATCTGAGAGAAACTGACAATCCAGTCTACCAGTCTCGGATTATTTAGAATGAGATTCAGCTTGCATAGTAGTTTATTAAGTGTGAAAGTGACACAAGCTTTGCACAGATCTATAAAAAATAACAAAAAGTGCCTTGAAGAGCCAGTCTTACTTCTTGTCGTCCAGTTCCAGTGATATTTCTACTTAATAAAATATACTTCTTTAGCGATGTTATGCATAACTTCCACTAACTCAGTTACGATGCTAACACCCCGGAACAAACCATCCCGGCAGTCACTTAGTGTACCATTGATATCTAAGTGATTTCTGGTACGTTTTAAAGTTATGTGTTCGAGATGCTTGGTGCAGAAAGAAGTCAGAGAAATCGGCCGGTATAGTAAGTGAACACCTGTTTGTTACGTTCTTTAGGTAAAGGTAGAACTTTCGCATGTCGCCATAAGGAAGGCACATACGCGGTTTCTAAAGATTTGTTACAAATGTTTCTAAGACAACGACGAGTCCAAATGAAGTAATAACCACCTCTGGACAGAGCGGCTACGATGGTAATAGAGCCTGCGGAATCCACGTAACCTAGTCTGCGCCTATTTTTCTTTTTTTTTTTTTTTGACGGAGCCGATAGCACAACGGTTTAAGCGTAACTCTGCTTTATAATTAGGTAAGACAGAGTATTCGCATCTTAAAATCCTCAAACCATTTCATTTTTAGTCATGACAACTTTGGCCTCATGCATTATGTCAAAAACCTAGTTTCGAATTGAGATAAAGAGTGTGTACGCCACTCAGATCTCCCAAGCGTCGTTCATGTTAGGGGGTAAATTTTTAAGATGTAAGGCTACTCAGGCGCAGAAGATCGTGGAGCGTACATTTTTTATAACATTAGCACTCATAATCGGATTCTACGATAATGTCGTTACCTTAACAATCATTACTTCCAATATATACAAAATTACGGGTTTTCCTTCACAGAGCCCTCCGTTGCCGGCGCATCACTATTCACAAGAATTTGTTCTCGTCATTCATAATCAACAACTTATGCTGGATACTCTGGTATATCAATGTCATCGCACAACCACACGTTATAGAGGAGAATCCGGTAAGGAAGCAAGAAGCAATGTGTCTTGAAATAAGCCATGAATTGGCTTATGTATAAGTGCGACGCTATTTCTTAATCATTACAACGTTCTCTTTCAGAACTGGTGCCAAGTTCTTCATGTTGTGACCCAGTATTTTCTACTGTGCAACTACCTTTGGATGTTTTGTGAGGGCCTGTATTTGCACACACTGCTGGTTCTTGCATTCATTGCTGAGGACAACATCATCAAGTGGTTCTTGCTTATCGGATGGGGTACGTGCGTCCTGCAAAGTGAGGTGTTTTGTCATTTCTAACTTGCTGTACTGTGCTGACATTAGGTAAAGCTAGGGTGTGTGACACATAGAAACTAAGTTGCAAAAAAGAAAAAAAAATGTAGAAGGGTAATGACTGCAGTCAGTACACTCCTAAGTTGCTGGCATAGCTGGGAGGGGTGGTGGTTTGAACCCCGAAAAAGTTTTCATTTTTGCATGTGTATATGAGGTGTTCCAGTTAACTCGCATCACAATTAAAAAAATAAAGCCACCAGCCTTACTTAAAAGAAATCTACTGCCTATTGTTCCTAGTAAAGTTTACTAGCCGACATTAATTTTCTTAATCACATTATTTACGTAAAATAGTTGAACATATAATTCTAGAACTACTGTTCTAATTGTTGAAGCGTCAATGAGGCAGTTGTAGTCAACGACGTGGGGCATCAAACTGCGCTATTTTCAAAGACGTATGAATTGCGTACTCAGTTTTTCTGAATGATAAACTTGATATGAAAAGCACCACGTGACAGCGCTCCCAGCCGCATCGTATAAAGCAGCGCAACCGAAGAAGTTGATAGAAAGCGATTCCTTTGCTGATCGCACATTCGAAGAACCAGCGCATCCACTTGGTTGTGATATGGAAGCACGCGCAAGCTACGCGGCTTATCAGCGATTGAGTCCTGTCAGTTATACGTCACTTTGATTACACGCCTCTAACGACTTTCTGATCTACTTGATAAGAATGGCTTTCTACAGCGTGGTTGATGCACTGCTTGTACCACGGACAGATCCCGAAAGGTACTGAACCAAACGTAGAATATTTCAAAATATCAGTTCAGCAGAATCAAATAAATGAACTAAAGAAAACAAATCGTGACCATGTTCGTGTTTTATTTGCCACATGCGCCCCGCCCGAAACAGAACGTCGCGTTTGGTGTTAGCGGGTGGTTACAGCTGTTTGCCTTGCGTAGATAGCGCATGGACAGTTCTTTTTTCTTTCGCAATGAAGCCTCCCACCACAGAAGCGGTTTTACGATTCCGAATAAAGGTTCGAAGGTGCGTTTGTCTTTGTGCTTGTCTCTATGCCCTAATTTTATGAACAGAATGTAAGAGAAGAAGGGCCGCTAAGAGTTATCCCTGATGGAAGTGTGGCGGCAGACCTACAACGTATCAAAAGTTATGAAAAACTATGAAAACCTCCAAAAATCCATTGTTTCGTGAAACAGCTGAGCAGTACTTCATCTTTGAGTGACAACCTACTTGCCGATGTTATAGCACTTATGGCAGCAAACCCTCAAGGTAGCGGGCGAAGCGTGGCCTCCTGTACCCATTTCTAAGCCGTCAGTTTGGCAGATATTGAAGAATTCGAATTTGCATTCGTGCCTTCTCAACCTGCAGCAAAGCCTAAAAGAGATGTACTTGCAGGATCGCCTAGAGTTCTAGAACTGGCTCCTCACAAATATGAGGAATCTTCAAACTTTCTTAGTATTGTGATCTGGACAGACAAAGCAAAGCAAGTTTTTGCAGAAACGCCCAAGTGAATCTGCATAATGCATTTGAGTGTCTGCAATCCACACTGTGTAAGGCGCACTCAGCATCAGTACCAGTGGTCTTTGAAAGCTTGGTGCGGAATTTACGCCAGGTGTATAATTCACCAATTCTTATTCGATTGATTGATTGATTGATTGATTGATTGATTGATTGATTGATTGATATGGGAGTTAAACGTCCCGAAACCACCATATGATTATGAGAGATGGTGTAGTGAAGGGCTTCGAAAATTTTGACTACCTGGGGTTTTCCAACGTGCGCCCAAATCTGAGCCCACGGGCGTACAGCATTTTCGCCTCCAATCGAAAATGCCATCTTATTTCATGACACGCTGACTGAAAACATTACGTGGATGAAATCATTAAAGGAACGGTGGATATATTTCGCAGTGAAATTCCTCTGTCACTTCTTCCACTTTTGTGATACCAGCAAGATTGGGCGCCGGCACATAGGAGCAGCCGCGCACGAAACCGGTTGGATGCGATCTTTCCTGAGCAGTGGATTGGAAGGCACGAGCCTGTCCACTAGCCGGCTTATGCAGCAGAATTCCTTCTTCGGTCATCGAAAAAGCAACTGAGGATGTTGTACAGCGGGCTCTGTACTGTGTAGCTGCGTAACTGCCTCTGTACTGTGTGTACTGTGTAACTTGAACACGTTCTCTAAGCAATATCAAGTGCTCAATGGTGCTTGCGAATGCGGCACTAATAAAGCAACAATCAAATGTGACCTTTTTCTGTCTTTAGCGCAAACCTTGGGTTGGCCAAGTTGTCCCTATTGGCAGTGGCACACTCAGCTTCTTCAACGCATCGGTTTTGCTTTCTTTCTACACGTCGCTAGCTTTATGGTTTGCTTGTCACAATTTTCTTTATTTTTGCCAAATGCCTGTTTTTTTTTCGCGGCACGTAATTACAAAAAAAAATCAAGCCACAACTTCATTTGACCTTGCTCCAAATCGAGTTCCCGACGCAAGATATAACTGCACGTGCACACTTTCATAGCTGTGGGAGTACAACTAATCTTTTGAAATATTCTACGTCTGTTTCGTTGCTTGTTGGGTTTCGTCCGTTGTACAAGCAGTGCTTTGACCACGCTGTCGAAAGTAATTCTTATCAAGTGGATCAATAAGTCGTAAGAAACGGGTAAAAAAAAGCGACGTATAACTGACGGGATTGGATCGGTGATAAGCCACCTAGCTTGCTCGTGCTTCCACATCACAATCAAGTGGATGCGCTGTCTCTTCGGATGTGCGATTGGCAAAGGAATAGCATTCAATTAGCTTCCTTGGGGGCGCTGCTTCACGATTAAGCTGGGAGCGCTGTCACGTGGTAATTTTTCCTATTTTGCGGGGATTATTTATCATTTAGAAAAACAGAGCACGCAATTTATAAGTCACTGAAAATAGCGCAGTTTGATGCCCACGTAGTTTACTACAACTGCCCTTAATTAGATGTTTTATTATTAGTTGTAGAATTATATGCCTTATTATCTTCCAAACTAACTTATTAACTAACAAACAATCACTATCGGCTAGTGCACTGTATTAGGAACATTATGCAGTAGGTTTTCTTCAAGTAACTCTGGCGGTTTTTTTTTAGTTTTTATTGTGTTGCGAGTTAAGTGGGACCCCCTGTTGTGACACAAACACATGGAAACAAACGCAGGCACTGTACATAAACGGTAATTGAATGCCTCTAGGCCCCCTCCCCAAGTCATCTGGCTATTCTATTCAAAGCAGATGGTGAGATTGGGAATGATACGTGGTTGAGGTAGTGCAGCTCCCTCCTCACTTTATTTTTGAAAGGTAATGGATTCAGGAGCCGAAATATCTATTTCTAAGCATAGAAAGTGATGTCTATGAAGTGAAATATGCAATATATTCACAAGCGTGCTGGCATACGCAGGGTTTCCTTTGATTCCCGCCATTGGTTACGGAGTAACGCGAGGCCTAGACAGAGAAGCATCAAGAATGTGAGTATTTCCTTGCGTTTTTTTTGTGTTTTTCATTTCATGTGACTGGTGCTGTACGAGCCGTTGATGTGCTAATGTCACAATTGCATACATTCTGGATAGTTAGGGGAAGCAACCTCGCTGCAATGATTACTTTTAGTGTTATGCAGATCTATTAAAAATGAATTCGCTAGGGGACGATAATATCATTAGACTTGCATTTTCACTATTTTGAAACACTTTCGCGCAAATACCTGTAAGCACTGTTTCACCACGTAAAATGGAATAACTTTGTAAAAGTTGCACTTCAACGAAAATTGTAGGCTTTCTTGCGTTCTTTCAAGCCAGGAAAACAGTGTCCTTCCAGTAGCATCAGTGCAGTTATTCTTTCAACAGAAACTATCTTAATTGATTTATTATTATTGCCAGCGTCTCTCTTCTGTTATTGCCTAGAGACCTGGCATAGTTAAACTTCGTCAGGACATGTGAACTTGTTAAATTCATACAAGGCATGCCAAACTGAATGTTTTGCCAACACGGAAAGCTTTTTATTTTGATCGCGATGCCCACTAAAATGTATGGTTTAGGGGGAAGGGGGCCAATTTTGCAAAGAAACACAACTTATTCATCGATGTTGTTGTTATATCATGCCTTAAGACAACGATTGTAGCAATAGTGAACTGCAACTCTATGTCTATTGTTTCCAGGTGCTGGGTGGAGCACGACGTCTGGTACACGTACATACTCAGCGTTCCCGTTTGCATCTCAATTCTGGTGAATATTGGTTTCCTAATTAAAATTGAGAGCACGCACAATGAAGGTGTTTGCTTGCTGAAAACTTTCAAAACAAAGATTCTAACGCTAATAGACAAGAAAAATTTCACAATTGTACGAAAATTTTATGGAGCAGGTGCGAAATATTGCACTACCAGCACGAACCATTTTTTTGTGTCTTCAGCCAAACTTTATGAACCTTGAAGTGAAACTTCTTCCACATGCGTCTCTCTCATCATGATTTGCATCGAAAAGTTGTTTGAATCTGATGCTTTTTCAGGAATATTTGATAGCGTCTGCGTATTTTTGACACAAAACCAAATATATTAGACAGTGCCGAAAAGACGCCAAGGAGCGTTATTAGCCAAACGAAGTAACTGACAATAGTTGCATACTATCTTCTTTTGTGAGGACAGCACTGAACGATAAAACAAAACGCTTTATTATTTGCCTAAACACATTCAGTATAACCGCGTTCCTTTACCTCATCACTAACGGCTGCTCATTCAAATACAACAAATAGTAATAATCTTAATTTCATTATTTACGACACCGAGCATTTATTTTTCAGAGTGTTCTGTGGTTGTTTTTCTGTAACTTTTGAGGCCTTTATTCACCAGCGCAAGCGGAAGACACAGATCTGGCCTTCCTAGAAGTGAACTGAAATAATAAGCTATGGTTGAGAGCGAGCATATTGCCCGTTCTTAATTTATGGATACCACAGTGAATTTTTCTTTTCTCTTTGTTTGGTGTTGCAGTTGAGTTTCGCATTCCTCGTGAACATAGTGAGAGTCCTGGTCACAAAACTTCGAGCCGTGAACTCTCCTGACAATGAGAGCACAAGGTGAGTCACCACAGATGGGCGAAAGGGAGCCATGCTCACTCTAATGCTTTATTTTTGAGCTTTTTGTTATGTATGTGAAATTTGTTTCAATGTGAAAACGTTCTTTGCGCACTGCTTAAAAAGTACAATCACTCGCTCTGTGACGTCAGGGTAGTTAAACTATCGCTTATACTTCTGCGAGAATCTTTGATTTTAAATAACAAACATTAGCGTCGACTTCTGTGTTTGACCAGCCATATACGTGAGCACTTAAAAAAACGAAGGTCCTGAATACTGGCATACAAAGCAAGTCTTATTCTTTATGCGGTCTTGCACGTTGCAACGACAACTGCGTGACTGCACCTTTTATCTCACATATTTTTGTGGTGAAAAAAAAAAAACGTGGCTTCTTAGCACAGAAGTTATCACAGCTTCCACTGAGGCTGGGCGACGATTATTGGCACACCTTGGGGTAAATTATCCCGTTAGCCGACAACGGCAGTGCCAGCTCCCCGAGGAGTTACGCACTGAATTCCCAGTATCCCCGATACCCCGAAACATGCACCCCACGCATATTGCGGGGAGAAGGCGGGCACGGGCGCGAGACCTGCTCAGTACTGCCGCCGCTACGGCGGATCACTTGGCCTTCGTAGATTCAGCGCAGTACGGAAGCTCGGACCACTTGAAGTCGGTTATCACCGCATTTAAAGGTGACCATTTGTCGTCACTGACTTAGTTACACGCAAACGCCGATAGCGCTGAAGAGGTTGCGGTAGCACTAGCTCTCGCTATCACAAAGCGCAAAGCTATCTACACATACTCGCGAGCAACTGCCCGAGCCTTCATGGCGGGTTCGGTATGCCACGAAGCTGCTTGAGTTCTTTCCGCTGCTAGTTTTACAGACGAAAAGCACATTATCTGGTTCCCGGCACACGTTGGCCGACACGTCCTTGGAACCGTCCTTTATGCCAGCGAGTTAGCGCACTCTCGGGCGCGAGTTTCGTTATTTCACGCCAGGATGAACCACTCGGAGGCAGAGGACACTATTGGTATTACCGAGATCCACTCCTAACCTTCAAGAAATTCGCAAGCACTTTCAATTCTGATGGCGGAGGTTCCCCCTCTCGCATCCAACTTTAAACAGAGCTCAGTCTATCACGTTACGTCCACTACAGACTGAGGCATACGTTTCCCCCTGAAGTGCTCTAAATATATGGACGGTATACAGCCACGCTGCCCTCGCTATGACAACCCCCGTTGCACTGTGCAACATATGCTGTGGCAATGTCCTCCCTGCGCAAGAGCCCCAGGTCCTCCTCAATGGAGGAGGACTGGCGATCTCATTTCACAAGTAACGAGAAGGAAGACCAGCTACGAGCTATCCAGGGAGCCCATGACATATCCGAGGACTTGCATATCCCCTTCCCGTCGTGGGTGCTGCCCGCCGATAAGGGAGAGTGAGCGTCGTCTCAGGATCAAATAAAGTTCTTTGCCTCCCTGCCTGTGGTAATTCTTCACAATGGAAAAAGCGGTATCTTGCAAATGACAGCGTTTAAACTATATGATGCACTAATTAGGTATTTAAGCGTAATGAAAAAGATATGGGGCTTCGGCTTAAAGCAATGCCCATAAAACGAAATGTTGCTGAGCAATTCTCTCTTTCACTGCATGCATTTTTCGTTTCTGTTATTTTTCTCTGTCCAGGAAAGCTGTACGGGCCACAGTAATATTGCTGCCACTGCTGGGCTTGCATTATGTCGTGACACCTTTCAGACCAGACAAGGGTTCCATATTCCTTGCCTACGAGATCATATCAGCACTGGTTACATCTTTGCAGGTGAGCTACTGCTGAAATGCTTTCATACCTCAGTTCCGTGTCACGGAAGTTGATTGACAAACTTTTTCTTTTGTCATGAAGCACGTATTGAGCTGTTAGCCGCTATGCTTTTTTATACAAAGTTTTAATGTCTGAAAGGCACGAAATTTCACTGTGGACAAAGTCGTTAGAGTCAAAATAGTTTTCTTTGCTACAAGTAAAAAGTCTCACAACACAGTTTGTCATGATTAACCTAGACTCGCAACACAAACCCAAGGCCGTTAAATGTGAGTTTTAGCACAGTCCCTTAATACCGTTCTGGTCACGAAACTTCTCCTTCACTCTATGGGAGGGCTTGATATGGGGCCAAGAGCGGCCGCTACGCGGCGCAAGCCGTCCTAGGGGGGCCATCGCCCCGCTGCGCCCGGTGGAACGCACTGGCCGCGGCGGCATCCCGAAGGCGTTGTGTGGTGGCAGCTCGCGGTTTCTGCATCAGCGAAACGCGAACTTCATGTGCCAGTGCACCGTGCTCAAGGTGGACGGCATGAAAATTCGAACGAACAATGCCTAAGACGTGCTGTGTGACGGGTTGCAGCTCCGGATACCGAAGCAACAAAGAAAAGGCGTCGCTCTTCTGTTTCCCAAGTAGCGCCGAACTCCGAGAGAAATGGAAGTGAGCTATACCGCGGTCGGAAGCTGGCGGTTTCAGCTTCGAAAGTAAGAACGTTCGGGTGTGCGAAAAGCATTTTGATGCTAGCGACGTTGTGAGAACCGACGAGCACATCGTAAACGGGGTGGTCGTGACGCTTCAGCGAGAGAGACCGAGGCTTCGCACGAACGCCGTTCCAAGAATTTTTGACGGGCTCCCGGCGTACCTGACAAAGCCACAAACAAAATCGAGGGGCTATTTGAAAGTACCTAGCAGCCGTCTTCTTGCTCTCCTGAAAATTGTTGAAAAACGTGTAGAGACGTACACGGTGCAAAACATTGCATGCGGTGACGTGTACGCGAGGATTGTTGAGGGCATTTTGCTCGACAGCCGCACAGCGTCAGCAAGTGTAGGTTGTCTGTTGCACTTTTTAGGGACAACAGCTGAGGTTGTACACTTTTTTTTAGATGTAGATTACATTTCTTCACTCGAGAAAAAAACAGAGCCTCGCGGGCAACTGTGTGCAGTTCATGCCCTGCAAGTGGTGGGTGGAAGCCACAGTGTTAAGCATAATGGCTGTGTATGTGAGCACGCCTTCTTATTTGTATATAGTGTTGTATATCTTGTATACATTACACTGTAATATTTTGGTACTATTCATATTTATCTGCATATAGTGTAAATAGTGTATATTCAAATACAGTTTATTTTAGGCAGTGAGCTAAGGCAGAGTGCAGCTGTTAATGAAACGAAATACACATTGTACAGTAGAGTCACAGATTGTGTAACATTGCTCAGAACAGCTGCAATAGTTTCTAGTGCTTTTCTTCTCCAAAGTGTTGTTCTCAGTGTATTTTGTGTAAATAAATGTTTTCCAACTTTCTCCCCATTACATGCACCATATGGGAATCTCCCATTCATAAGTACACACCTGACTACTAGGCGGCGTATCATTAGCACCAAATTTAAGATTTATTGCATGCCTTAAATCATAACCGCCCTTCCCCCCTCCCACCCAAAAAATAAAAACAAATGTGTGATGAGGTACCTCGGTAGTGGCAGAGGCGGCCAAGTGGCTAGCACTGGCATCAAAAGGAACTTCCAGATTAGGCTGCTGTACTTACGTTCCCGGAGAAATCATGGGTTGTCGGCCGGTAAATAATAATGCCCTAAACAGTAAACACGAGGAAACGTCAAGCGGCGGGTGTCCCGTGTAAACTGCGTGGAAAGAAGTGATCAATCAAATGTTAGGCACGTTTAGAGCGGTCGCGAAAGCCCTCGGCATCGAAAGTCCCCGCGTCAAAAAAGCGATCGGCGCTCACAAACGTGTGTCCAAAACAACTGCGCATTTGGGTATAAACTCAATTGAAAGGTCTGGAATAAAACTTCTGGCTCAACCATTCAGTTCATTTGAATACTTGTGTAGTAGCGCGCGAGAGGCGAGTCGGATATAAACCAATGTGATTGCTCCTGTACTACCCAGTCGTGTTTCATTTCGTTCACCTTCCTCCCCATATTAGCGGCCCTACCAGAATATAAAGCTCACCTACCGCATAAACATAATCGCCCTTTGGCCGGGCGCAAATACAAACATGTTGTCGAGCAGATCAAGCAGTAGCTGCTCGCATCAAGAGCATGAAGCATAAGCATCGTCTTTCAACACTTGCGAGCTATAGCTTGCAAGTACCGCTTCGAGGCATCGTAAGTATGCATATAATTGGGCTATGAGACAATTATTGACACAATGCGTAATCGCGCGGTGTGAGAACACTTTTTTTTTGCGCTGCTGTTTATAAGGTGGGCCCGCACTTCCAAGTAAACTACGCGTGCGTTCCAAAGTAAACAGCTCTCATTCGTCGTCGACACTGGATCCCGTTTCAACTTACTTATCTGGTGGCATTGATGCGTTCAGAGACGTTTAAAAAAAGGTAGCAGGAAGAACAACACGCACATAATCGCGTCGAAACGTCGGCCGCAGTGCGCATACAAGCCCAGCAGTGGCGGCGGCTTGTGGCCCCCATACGACGGGTGGCGCCTCTAGCGACAGATTTTGTCCCTATATCAACCTTCGGGCGGAGTTTCGTGACCAGAAAAAGCATTGAACGACTCTGGTTTTAGTTAACACTCATTCAATGTCACATATACGTGCGTGAAATTGTCTTCCCACGCCGTCATTTCTAAGACAATGGCATTCATCGACCCTATTGGCCAGAATATATATAACAAATTGAGGTGCTAAACGCGGCAGTCGTTACTGAAGCAGGCGTGTAGTCACTCTTGTTAAGATTAGACGATAGAGAGTCTAGCGGTCCAGACGAAATACCAAACTGCTTCCTAAAACGCTATGCCGAGCCTGTTAGCAAACACTCATGTCTTCTGTACAACGAGTCAGTTTCAGGGAATCGCTTGCCAGCCGATTGGAAAGTTGCAAAAATAGTGAGTAGTCTACAAGTCTCCTGACAGTTCTTTGCAGTCGAATTACAGGCATATTTCTCTCACGTGTAGTTGCAGCAAAATGTTGGAGCACATTATGATAAAATTCGTTACTAAGGTCGTATGACAAATGCGCCACTCCGTCCTGATCAACAGGGCTTCAAGGCTCGTCTGTCTACCGTTACCCAACTTAATGAAACCCTGCATGAATTCGCTAAGGGTATCAGTGACAGGACAGAAATAGATATACTATTCTTAAGAGTTCTCTAAGAACTTTGACCGTGTAAGCCATGCGGAACATCTTGTAAAGCCTAAACATGTAGTATGGGATAGGTCAATTTTTTGATGGATTAAGTTCTATTTAACAGACTGCCACCCGTTCACTCAGCTCAGAGCCAGCACTTCTGAAATTATTCGGGTCCTTTCTTGAGTACGTCAAGGTTTCTTTCTGGCCCCTAGTTTGTTTCTACTCTTTACGAATGGCATTGATTGCCCTGTCCAATCCAAGATTAAAATTAAAAAATTAGCAGAAGACTGCGTCCTGTATAGAGAAATACGAAGCAGCCAAGATCAAACTATTCTTGACGAAGATTTTGCTATGTTAGCACAATGGTATAGGAGCTGGCAAATGGCCATCAATTTTGATAAATTATTTACAATGACAATAACTGCGAAGGAGTCCCAACTTACTTTTCCCTACGGCCACGATAATAATGTTCTCAACACCGTCACTCAGTATAAGTCCTTAGCTGTGGTCATGCGGTCAGATACACAAAAGCACATATCTGCTATGAAAGCTGTACAACAAAAGCCGCTTGTTATATCTTTCACAGATATAGACGCACCAACTCGCCTACGCAAATGCTATCAGAGCTCGGTCTTCACACTATTAGCCATTTGTGCAATGCTGTCCCAACTAATATTTTTGTGCCTCACCCTGCACAACAAAACTACATGATAATCAAACGCTCCTACATTTCCTACAACAGTTCCAGAGACACCCGTCATCAGCAGCCAATCACACTCCGAGAATACGCTTGCACCAACAATGCGTAATAGGTACTTGTTCTGTCCACACGCTGTTCGAGAGTGCAACTTCTTATCGAACACTGGGGTCACACAGCCCACTGTTGAAAAAATTGCTGAACTTACTGGCCAAGCCGTGCTATCGGCAGCACGTTCTATAACTTTTGCATTTATCATTGTCTTTCTTGGCTGTATGTTTGATATTTGTCACGAAACCTGGTACAATTATCAATTTTATGTATGTTTTATTTTATTTTAAATTATGGTATATTGCTGCACTTCTTATGTAACTGAGACAGTATTGTTGCGCTACCTTTTCAAACGTTTTAACATATACGTGATAAGAACCACAAAGTCTTATTGTTATCTTTGTAACCTTACTGATGTTATGTAGAATTTTGTGACTGTGTATAAAAATATTTGTATTCTTTTCGAATTTTCTTCAGTAAAAATCTCTGCAAGATTGGCACTAACCTTAACTAAACAATAAAATAATATAAAATAATATCTCTGCTTGTCGCCCTCGAGCATTGTGTTACAGTAAAGAACAAAATCACTCTAAATGCCGTATGCAATAAATCTGATTTTGGACACTAATAGAAAAGGTTACCAAGTTTGCAATGAATGCACTAAAAACTACGGTTACCCTTACTACATAGCTTCACCAAATCTCATTTTTCAGTTACCACGTTTTAGAGGCTACCTTCCTAGATGCAAGCAGGCCTGGTCATTTGTCATTTTTATTACAGCTATAGGACTCGATAGTTTCCTCGTTTCTATATATTGGCCTTATGCAACCGCAAAATGTAGATAAGAAGTACATAGAAGTACTGGCTCTCATGTACATATCTTAATTATGAATGCGTTTTCTCGCGGGAGGGTACTTTTTCAGAAATGTAAACTTAATTATTTTTGTTGGTATATAATTTTTTAAGAATTAACGCTTACTATACCTTTTCGTGTAACCTGTTCTCTTCTTTGACTATGATCTATTTTTGTCGCTACTGCTTGGTCTTGGGACTGCATTAAACAGTGATTAAATGAAACAAAACACTTTGGACAAGTTTTAACACACCAATCAATCTCAATAGCATCTTCTGTCACGCGGGCAACCTAAAACACAGTACAGTTCTCTAGTTATCACGTCTTTGAAGTTGTGGTCTGTGTGTAACAGATTTCCTTGCGCTCAGATAGTTAAACGCAATGCTTCACAAAGTGTGTTCGAAGATCTCCATTTGTGGCGAAATACGCTTTTAACCTTTAACAACAAAGAAATAGGTGAATAAGTGGCCATAGTCTCCACTTCATGCCTTGCGAAATAATCTTTTGCCTCTATTTTCAATAAATCAATAAAGTTTTTTTTATTAAAGTTTTTTCATTAAATAAAGTTTTTTCATTCCATTCCATTCCATTTTCAATAAGTGCCTCTGAGTACATGTGTGCTGTTCTTTTCAGGTTTGCGCATCACGTATCATTCTTATTCCAACGTTCATTATCCCACTGTAACATTACGAAAAGTCATAGCAATGGCGGTCGCGATTTTTTTTTTTTTGAGCCCGGCAGTCGTTTCGGTAGCACAGGCAAGCTTATTTACGATCCATCCGCAGCGAGGGCTCCGTAGAAAGAACTAAGGACCTTAACTTATAAGATGTCGAAAAATACAAGCAATATAGGGGGTAGCAAAACATCAAAGAAAAAAAGACATCTTGAAGTGTGTTCGAAAATTGGCGCAGTTAAAGGAAGAAGTTACCAGCACAAACGCATATTGATACCACCACTCCAGTGATCATTCCTGCCAACATGTCTCCACCCACACGTTTCTGTGACAAAAGCCGAAGCCATTTTGCATTTCTATATGAATAAAGTGTACTATTTCACAATAATACTTTTTGTGCAAGTTATGTTCAGAGTAATCAGACGCAAATCCTGCACGTCCGTCGCAGCACCTCATGCATCTCCTGAAGAGTATATTAAAAGCTCATAAAATTGTCGTGTGACATGGCCTCACATAATCTTCTCTAACTTCCGAATGAAAACTTACATTAATAGAGTTTAACGGAGTTTGATGGTAGCCGTGTGACCGCGGTATTAGTGATCTTATTCTTTTCTTTTTCCTTTTCCAAAAAAAGTGTCGCATGCTTTTCGAGCATAATATTTCGCTCTGAGAAACGTACGTGAAATAAGGAACCACACTGTCGGCGGTTGGTATTTCAAATGTTTTGTTGCTTTCTACACAGGGCCTCTGCGTCGCTCTTCTGTTTTGCTTCTTCAACGGGGAGGTAGGTGCTTGTTAACTTTGAAGAATCATAGCGTTATTGGTAATTTTCATGATTAGAGAATCATCCACGAGAATGCCTTAATCATACAAATCAGAATTTTTTGTGGAACTAGTGAATACATACATAGTCACAACTGTGAAAACGCAGTAAGGAAATGACGCTTGTTTATGAGCATATGTATTGATCAACGTTAAATCCTAGGGTTGTCTGTTGTGCAATAAATTATATTGACACTTAAGAACATTTGTTATATAGCAATGTACTGCTTAAATTTCGATGTCTTAATTATATAATTCAAGGCACAGTAGATTGTTGAAGCTGTCTTAACCTTTCTTAGCACTTCTTTGTACTCGTGAAGCACCTTGACAAGAAGCTGTTTCAAACAAGTAGTTTTTGCCCTTAGCCATTGTAATGAAATGTGTACTGTCAGCGTAAAATGAAAGCCAAACAGCGACAAGTCTTTGCGATAGTGTAATGCGTGCCTTCCAGTTATCACTATTGACAGGCGCATGCATCATGTTCGGAAGCTTTGCACATGTATGTGTGCCTGTTTGTAGTGATAAGTGGACGGCGCGTACTATGCTATCGCCAAGGCTTGCCGCTCTTCGGGTTTCATTTGACGCTGATAGTACATCTCTTTAACGCAGCCAGGATAATACAGTCTTGCTTTTTATAACGACCGCTTTACATACGCGTCTGGGCTAAAATTGTCTGCGTAGGCATGATCTTTGGTCTCACTGGCCCCTTAGGAATTTGCGTTGGAATCAGTTGTCACGCAACACATTAACAGTATTAACAGTGCACTGGCTTACAGTAGCATTCGCTTTAAGTACATCAAGTCTACCAGCATGATTCTAGAATTACGTTGGAACGTAGGTGGTAATGAGACGGGAAAACAACTGCATGAGAGTTATGAAGTAAATTCCTATATCACCTGTCCGCACTATGTTGTAGTTTCTTAAGCACAAAAGCTTCGATGGTTTGAATTCTTGGTCAATCCGCTGGGAAAATATTCGGCTAGGGAGCAGCGCCAGGAGTGGCCTTCGTAATAAAGACCCGAGGTTGTCAGCGAAGGATGCTTAGCTTTAAAGATGCCACATTTACTTCATATTACCTCAACGTGTTGATTGAGCTATGTAGGAAACTTTAATTCTAATTTGCATAATCATAGAAATTTGATCTTTGTGTTAAAACAATGGTTGGTGTTATTTGCTAAAGTTAGAAAAATTATAATATTTTGTATCCCCGTAGCCTATACCTCCTTATGTCATAAAAGGTATAATTTTTTAATCAGAACATTTTTCTTGTTGTGGCATATTCATGGCGTTTTCGCTGTGGCAGTGATGGCTTTATAAGAACATAAAATGCTCCAGCACGCCGTGGTTGTTCCTTACGAGTGATCTTGCTGAGGCGTCGGTAGTCCACACAGAACCGCACATAACCGTCCTTCTTCGCGACGAGAACGACAGGAGACGCCCACGGGCTGTTAGAGGGTCGAATAACATCGCGGCGCAGCATGTAGTCCACTTGCTCGTTGATTACACGGCGTTCTGTGGGAGATACGCGATATCGACGTTGCCGTAGTGGTTGTTGTGCGCCTGTGTCGATGCGATGCGTAACAGTGGATATGCGGCCAAGAGAAGGTTGAGCGACATCGAAAGAAGAGCGGAATTCTTCCAACAGGGCCAGAAGCTGGGAGCGCTGGACCGGCGTAAGGTTGTCGGCAATGGAAGGACCGAATACATCAGCGGATGATGAAACAGATGTAGAGACAGCACTAAGCGTATTGGAACTTCGGCAGTGCGTGTCACCAGGCTGATCCATGACTTGTGCGTCTTCGATGGGTTCCACGCTGCCGAGACATTCTCCTCGCACCAACGTAACACTGTACGGGGATGAGTTCAGAACGAAAATAGTGGTGCGGCCGTGAGTGACTTGCACGGTCGCGAAAGGAACCAGCAAGCCTTTCCTGGTGAAAACACGATGAGATGGCGAGAGGAGTGCAGCGGTGTCGGAAAGACTTGCGCAGTATACCGACACCGCCGCGGACGAGTTTGCAGGCACTTGCGTGTCGTCCCTGACGAGTAACTTGCTTGCAGCAGATGGACTATCGGCCGGCGTCAAAGAAGAGAATTGTGTCAGCTCTATTTCTGCTGGTGCGCAATGAATGACGGCGTCGTGGCAGGAGGGAAAATCCTACCCAAGGATGACGTCGTGAGAGCATCAACCGCAGGTCGCCTCCAATTTTCCCAGTCAATCGAGCCACTTTTATGACCAACCGCCACCTACGTCACCGTCGTCCCACCCCGCTCCATCTACCCGCCGTTCACATTCTCCGCGACGTCGCTCACTGTCACCGATGCGGCCACGTCCACTAGAGGGTGACCAGGAAAACTAATCGTCGCAGTCCACGAGGCAAGGGCTGCGACGCTGTCGAACTGCGGAAGCCCCCAGGAAAGCTCATTAAACGTGATAGACTTGCTTGTGGATGGTGTTCGTGCATCTGCCCTTGTAGATACTAGAGCCGCCGTATCCGTCATGGATGCAAAACTTAGCCGATTACTGCGCAAAGTGGCCACGCCACTTTCCGGGCTCTCCCTCCGTACAGCCAGCGCCCAAAGCATTCACCCTACAGCGATGTGTACAGCCCACCATTTCGCCGTTCGCGACGACCTCCTCTACCGACGCAATTACAATGGTGACGGCCGCCAGTGGCTACTAGTCATACCCCGCAGTCTGCGCTCTGACATATGCGAATTCTTTCATTCTGATCCGCAATGTGCGCACTCCGGGGTATCGAAGACCACCGCATTCGCCAACGGTAGTTTTGGCGCGGCATGTACCGCTACGTGCAGAAATTCGTTCGCTCCTGCATAGAATGTCAGCGCCGCAAAGCTTCATCGCACCTATCGCCGGTAGGTCTGCAACCTCTACCTTGCCCTGCCAGGCCGTTTGGGCGCGTTGGCATCAATTTGTATGGGTCACTTCCACTAACGTCGGCTGGTAACCGCTGGGCCATTGTTGCTGCGGACCACCTCACGCGATACGCCGAAACTGCCGCTCTCCCCGCGGCTACAGCGAGCGATGTGGCCTCCTTCCTGCTCCAACAATTCATGCTGCGACACGGTCCACCTCAAGAACTGCTCAGTGATCGAGGCCACGTCTTCCTGTCTGAAGTCGTCGAAGCCATTCTCAAAGAGTGCAACGTTGTTCACCGCAAAACTGCTGCTTACCACCCGCAGACGAATGGCCTCACTGAACGCTTCAACCGTACGCTCGGCGACATGCTCTCCAAGTACGTCGCCGCCGATCACACAAATTGGGATCACATTCTACCCTTCGTCACCTACGCATATAACACCGCCCCTCAAAGCACTACTGGCTTTTTACTTTTCTTTTTATTATATGGAAGGCACCCGTCGCACCATCAACACTATACTTCCGTACAAGCCAGATCCATCCGAGTGGGCGCCTATTTCTGCTACAGCGAAGCTTGCTGTGTCGAGAGCTTGCAAGGACCTTTACAGCGCATGATCAAGAGCGGCAAAAAGGCATTCGCGCTGACACCAGCACTACTGCGCCCACGTTTCTCCCTGGAGCGCTCGTCTGGCTCTCGATCCCTACCACTTCAACTGGCCTATCTTCAAAACTATTGCCCAAATACGAAGGCCCTTACCGTGTCGTCGAACGCACTTCCCCTGTAAATTACTTGATCGAACCCTTCGAACCATCTTCGGACGTGTGCCGTCGAGGCCGCGACATTGTCAACGTGGAGCGCCTCAAAGCCTACCACGACCCGCTCATAGTAACCAGCTGTTAGGTCGCTAGGCGGCTCCCTCTTCGTACCCGGCGTAGTTGTGGCGAAGCCTTCGAACAGTGGGTCGTCCTCTCCAGCGCCTTCTAGTGGGTCGCCCTTTTAGCAAAAAGAAGAGCAGCTCGTGCAGAGAGTCGGTACCTGCAATTGACTGTCGCTGTCAAGCATCATCGACAAGTGTCCGCCACTAAACGTCTCAACAATATATATATACTTGTAACCTACGCCAGGCTACATAGAGGTACAGTGTTGTTCGCAAACCACAAATACATATTCATATCCAAACACACCTAACCTTCGCGCTCATCATAGCACAATGATTCAGAATGAATTATTGGAAAGATGACTCATATATATATATATATATATATATATATATATATATATATATATATATATATATATATATATATATATATATATATCTTGTTAATAAATAGTCAGATCTTAGCACTTTCGAGCAGAGACCTCATAGGCGTGTTATATTAGTGCCATAAACCCCGGAAAGATAACAGAAAGCATTGTCTCCATATGATGGCGGAATGGCAGCCATTTTTAGAGCCTTCGAACGTTGCAGCATTCACTGGCGGTTACTATCATACCTTGATTTTGTCGATTCTGTTGTCTCCGTGCTTTATTCATTAACTCTAAAATTAAATTAGCACGATACATTCGGTGTAGCACGGGGATTTTTGCAAAACGAAGCAAGCACAAACCACAAAAATAATTTAGACACACAGAATTTCACGCCGCGAAGCCTGAATCTTGCTAATTACTAAACTTATTGTCAGTGGTTAGTGACTGGTTTGCGCGCTATTTTAATGTAGTGCCTAATGCGAGCCCTGTTTGCGCTACATTGCTATTGTCAGGCGTGTCTTCGATGCAAATTAAATGTGTGGGAGTTCTTGCAGGAATTATAGTAGCAAACATTTACGCCCATCGCAACGCACAAAGCACGTTTCTTTTTTTCACAAACAGGTTCTGGGCGTCCTTCGGAAGACCCTGTCGCAGACACCGTGGTTTTCATACGAGAGCAGACGGATGTCTTACGCGAACACGAGTATAAGCGTAAGTCAGGCAACAGAGCATCGTGAAAACTGTTATGTTGTCTTTATTTTTTCTTAATTTGATCTGAGCATGCCGTTTTCCCATTGATGATTTTCTTTGTTCTTGAGCTTTTTCTACTGTTTTGCGCTGTTTCTGTTTGTGAACGCACGACATTTATGCTCAGTGAACTGCATTGTGTCTAAATATTGCATTCTTAGAGCCAGAAGCATCTATATAGAGTAGCTTGAAAAGCGAGTTGTTTGGTGTGCTATGAGGCCTTTCTGTGTAAAAGCACTGTGCTCACATAGTTTTTCATAGCTTCTCTTTATCGTGCCAATTTCAATTAACTTCATAGTTTTCCCTTAACGTTTTCCGACCATTTTAGCGTTACGACAGTTTGGGTAAGTGTAGATTTCCGACTCCGCACACCGAGCGTACGGAGAACGCAAACGCTGCATTACCATGGTGATGTGCTCGCAATTGTGATGATAATGGTTGTAGGGTGCTTCACTGCAAGCCCGCAGGTCACAGAATTGATTCCCGGCCACGACGACTGCATTTGCGATGGAGTCGAAAATGCCTGTGGCCTGCGTGCATAGATTTACAAGAATGTATCCCAGAAGGTCGAAACGTCCGGAGCCCTTAACTACGGTGTCTCATGTCGTAGTTTCGGAATGTTAAATCCCATCAATTTATACTATTAGCATAGAAATGTTTAGGTCGAATAAAATTCCATCATTATGGTATCGTTCACTTATATGTATCTTTTTTAGAATAATTTACGAAGAACCAGTGAAAGAGCCATGTCTTGTTGAATCTGTAAGATCGCATGAGCAACCAGAGCTCATTTAAACAATACCATAGGAAAGCTTCCTTGAAATATATATCTTCCTCTTGCTCATTTGTGCTATTAAAACATTTAATTATCACTTACGTTGCACTTGGAACATCTGCTGGCCGATAGCAAACATTTTTCGGTCGGTGATCTTTAGTAAGGGCAACTTAGGTGGGTGTGTTGCACCACCTTTTATCTGAAATATATAGGTACTTCTTTCACACTCGGTCATATAAGAAATATTTTCTCTGTGGCGAGAAAAACGTGCAATTGGTCGTTCGTTTAGGCAGTATTACCCATTGTTCAAAAACAATTACTCATTGTTCGAAAAACATGGTACTCCAGTGAGCCTGCTTTTGCACGTTACTTTAAACGTATGTTAATTTTTGTGTTCTCCTTACAGCGGCGTTATCGCAGCTTGCGCTCCAAACTTTCATCGCCATCAGCGCCAGGTCCTCCGCATTCATGTGAGGCGAATCATCTTTTTTTGCAGCAACTGCACAACATAAAGCCATATCACTTGATAATACACAGCAGGGCATTGTAACTAGTAGTTTTTATGCTGTGGTTTTTTTTCCTTTGCAAATTTTATTACTGCGCCACTTCTGGAGCTGAACTTTAAACATGTGGCATCCGATAGTTTTGTGAAAACATATGCACGCAAGGTAAATCAATTGAGGTTTGTACCAATAAATGTCAGCCTTTAAGCCATGAGAATCCGTCGTGTCTTCCAAAATCGAATATTTACTAGCAGGTGGAAATGCATTCGCTTGAACCTTTAGACGAGCAGTTCAGTGTAGCATTAGCTCAACTGAGATTAAAAGTGCAGCTATGTTTTATCCAATGTTGCACATGTACGAAAATGTGCCATAATTTAGTTTCGGAATTTCCTGAAAGACACATTGTTTGGACGTGTCTACTGAAGCAATCTGCACGTATCGTGCATAATGCAGGTCCTATTGTCCCCCTTCTGCTTGGTATGATATTTGTAGTAATGCTATGACATTTCCTTGTCACTCCTATTTTTTCCTAGAGCAACATATCTCCAGTGACGTTGATTATCTCATCTTTTATTAGACATTATTTTCCAAGTTCTGTCACGTCTCAATAGCATTTGCGTATTTTTTCTTGCTTTTGCATCTGTGTTCTGTCTGCATGGTTTACTTCTGGCTGTTTATATTAGTTTGGAATGTGCATGTTGTTCTATGCCCTCTAGATATCTTGTACTGACATAGGTTTCCAGCATGCGATTATTATCTACTAGCAAATTATCGAGAAAAGCGAATCGGTAACAACCTACGCCATTGTTCGGCAAATAAAAGACAGTAGCCACGTCAGGAATTGCGTCTTCAAATGGCATGACAGCCATTTTTATTTATTCTTCTTGAACAAGTCATCTTGCTGAGTAGCCGCAAATTTTCGCACGATATTCTATTGGTTGTGCAGTTGACGCGTGAGATCCTGTTTCGTTCATCCTGATAGTCAGCGGCTAGCCATCGTTGATTCGAAGAGAAGCCGGTCAATAAGCGGAAACTTCTCGAGGCACTGGCGTAGTTTTAAATACGGTGCGATAAAAATAGAAGTGCATGACAGTGCAGTTAGTTTAGTGCATGTATAAAAAACTGTTCGCGTTTAACACGTTTTGTAAAAATCAAAGATCAAAACAATTTGCCCTGGGCATTGGCGTCGCTCTTCTGATAATGATGTCATTCTATAGTACTTATTTGGCATGGGTGCTAAATTCAAATGTATATTTTAGGTCGCGATACCAAAGTAAACTTGCTATTATTCATTCAACAGATTGGCTCAGAACACGACTTTGGGATAAATTCACTTTCACTGAAGTGTAAGAATGCATTTTGTAAAAACGACGTGATTAACAAAGCAGAACAGAGAGAGAAAAACACATCCTCTCTTGTCATAACCTCACTGTAGGCAAACACCAATTTTTGCAGTACTGCTTTGGTCTAGATGTTTTTTTTTAATTTTAATATTGCAGTGAAACAACGTTTGCTTTTTATGATTGAGGAACTACTTTTCGAATCTCCTCAGATTACTTCATTTTTTTTTTCCGTAGTGCTTCTTTCGCTAGAATTGGAAAGATGATTACCAGTAAGCTTTTTCCTGTCTTTACAGTTTATGCCAAGGCACTCACCTGATGGTAAAAGTCCGGGTGCTTCACCTAACCATCAGCAGACGATGCTTTAAAACACCACATGTGTGAGACCACATGTGTCATTGGTTTACGCGCATGCCTTTGGTTTAACTTGCTTGGACGAACAGCATCAGGGTGTTTGTGCGCAGTCGGGCAAGACTTGTGACACGGTGCATTGTGACATCTATGGACGTCGTGGTTCTCGTCAGCGAAGACCATAAGTGGACCACGAGAGCGACACCACCACTTTCCCAGAACTGCGTCATCGTTGGTGAACGAAACTCGTTACTTCAGCGTCGTGTTTTGCCACGCGAAGGAAAGTGCGTACCCATAGTACTTGTATTGAGTGGAAATATCCGACAACCATTTCAATACCTTGTCGAAACATGTTTTCAGCGCCTTTCATCCTTCTGCGAAGGCTCGAGCGCATGCTAAGACTCCTAAAAATACAGGTCTTTGATCGTGTCAGCGTACTGATTCTGCTGAAAACGAAAATATTTGTGGCATGTCGTCAACTTTTTCTGATGTTTTGTGAAATAAAATGCTTCCAAAAAGTCGCAGTGTTTTTTTTCTCATAAAATCTTATGTTTTAGATCATATCAAAGCTTCTGCATGTAGGAAATTTAGGCACGAAGCGAATTTGAAGAGAATAGTTATCTGGTATAATAATTCCGAATGTAATTTGAATAGTATCTATTGCATATTGTCACGGGGTCGTGACGTGGCCGAAGACAGGAGACTTCGTGTTGGGATTTAACTGTTTATTTGGGCGAACCTGTGCCCGGTAAACGGAAAGTCCAATTACAGCAGCAGTCTCGGACTGATAGCGGCGAACGCAGCGTCGGCCTTCGATCGACAACTGACAAGCGGCGAAGCGCGTCGGCATTTATACTCTTGCCGTCGAATGTTCTAGCGTTATCGCTGGCGGCGGCGTAGGTTCTAGAACAATCTGTACCGTTCGCACAGTGGGCGTGATCTTATCGAAATGATCTACTACAGTCCGGAACCTTCTCGAAAACTGCAGGCGCGGTTCGCGCTGAGAATGGTGTGGTGTTTTGGGACGATAACAAAAACTTGGGAAATGGAACGTGGCAATATTATAAAAACCAATGAACGTATTTGTCATAGCCCAAGTAACTCGCAGAGTATATATTTTTATTCGAATCAAGGCAGCTCCAAATGTCAATATGTTCTTATTCAAAAAGATGAGTAATTTGGCTAGAACAGTAGCACCATTTGACTTTAGGTAGAATGTAAATGACTACTTATAAAAGATATGACGTTTTGAATTTTACTAATTTTATAGCATATAAACTGGTATACCAATTCTTGAAAATGATGAAAGGATGGAAGGATAATCTATGCATTTGACCTTGAAGTAGAGCTTCGCGGCATTCTCAATTAGCCCTGAGTTACGGTATTCACAGTACAGCACACCTTCACTGCTGTAAAACCATCTCTACAAGAAATATTCATATTTTATACGCAACTATACCTCTATTCAAGATACTTCGAAATTTAGAATGAATTGAAGTTTTTCTAATTCATTTCTAAGTGAATTTCAGTATTGTGTTATTCGCTCGAATATTCGAAGTGGTTGAATTATCGCACAAGCCTATTCATATAGTATATAAGAGCGTGTGTTGCTCATGTTACGGTGTCTGCAATTTGTATTAGTTGGTCATAAATTGAAGCTAGCGGCAAATTCACACGCAGTTGTTCATTAGGCACGCACACGGTAACAAAAGCACCAACCGGCCTTAGCACGCTTTTTTAAGTTTTCTAGTGGTAATATTCGCGCACAGCACGCATGAGTGTACACTCCCTGAATCGTAACGAGCTGGCACTTCATTATAGGTTGCTTCTGCGTTATCAACAAAGGGATGTTCTGCTCAAATATTCGCAACAGATATGCAACATTCTCTGTGCACTCCCTTTGGGCCACTAATATTGTATAATAGTGCTCTTTCGGGGAGACAAAGGTCGTTGTAGACCGTCGTTTCCTTCTAAGAGGGGGTTCATCTAGTGCCTTGTGCCACTTACACACTACTGCATTGTGACGACATGAATACAATGCAACGAACTTCCAGCACCATCATTGTTGATTTTGTGGAGACATGTGGAATACGTCATAAATGCTTTCCGTGCAACAAGGGTGAAAAGATCGCTGCAGTGTATATACCTACAGCGTGGGGGTGTGATAAGCGAGGATCAATAGCATGACGGATGCTCTCACCCCGCGTTACACGCAGCACCACGGTATTATGGTTTTGGTAAAGCAGTGAAACTGAAGCAAGTGAGCCATGGGAGGAACGCGGATAACTGGTGAACAAAAAGAGGGTCTCTCACTGACAAGCCACACGACAGAAAGGCGAGGACAGGTGAAAAAAAAACAGACAGATAGTATCTTATTTTCTATCTCCTCGTCTGTTTAATGCTTCAGCTTGTCAGTGATATATTGCCCCCAACTCACCCAGTAAGCCTTATAGTAAAGTACCTTCGTTTCAAGCGCACCACAGAGTGTAGTTCGCCATGATAAAAAAAAAACGCGCCCTTGTTTCTCAATAATTTGGCGTTTCCCGTGACGCCTTGCTTGCTATTGATTCGGGGATACTGCTTTTTCAATGTTGAAGTTGTCTCTATACGCCGGTACGTTGCTAATGGCGTCTCAGTGAAAGAACGTGTAGACGTCGTGAAACTTATGGAATTTAATTACATTCACTCAATCATTGAAGCCAAAACATGACCCGCCGGCGCAAAACATATAATTGTTCTCTCTGTCGTTCCTTATACAGCGCTGAGCATTTTGGTCTAAAAGTGGCACAAAGTTCGATCTCGACTGTCAGCACGCGTGAAGGGAACCGAGAATCCTTTCGAACGTATACAGGTGTCATCATCGCTGGCGTGGTTGATGTCCTGAAACTCCCACGTTAACAGTTTACTGTTCACACAATTTCAGTCACTTCTACTTGCAATAGTCAGCCCGCCAAGAAACCTCGCATATCTACTACTTCTGTGTTCTAATCGTGTGCGAAAAAAAAAGTCGTGCGTCTTTGCATCACAAGTGTTACATCTAAAGCGCATGCGAGACACGTCGTTTCTTTCACTTCGCCTCATGGTCTGCGTGTTTGGCGCGTGAAAACGTATTCGTGGCCAGCACTTCGTTGTGTTTTACCAAGATTCCAAGAACCAGCTAGATCAGCGGAACGCGAGTTGCGAAGAGGGCTGTGAGGACGTGGTGACCTCCGAGGCGTGAAAACTCTGATTCTTCTTTGTTCACTTTTTTTGCTCTAGGTGCATTTTCACGCAGTTTCACTTCCTGCTTTGCAACGAGTCCTTGCTGACTTGCCCCGATGAAAGTGCTCAGCCTACTCTGTTTTCTTTTCACGTGAGCTTCCTTGGAATTCTACTCAATTGAGATGACGATTCAGGCTTGTAGAGTGGCATGCGGCTGCACTTGTCACCTTTTTTTTCGCATTTTACTGTTAGGCAGATAACTTGGGCGCACGAAAGCACTAAGGATATTTTTCGAAGCCCGAGGCAGCAGGTCATTCCAGGCGCCTTCTATTGTTCACGATTTCTGCACAATACATCGTAGCGAAAAAGCAACAGTAATTTTTTTCCTCTAGACTGTTGCATCTCTTCAAGTAAATCATTTCAAGCACTCTCATAAAACGAGCTCTAGGAGAGATCACGTTCTGGCCAAATCTCATTTTCTAGAAAGAACCAAATACCAGAATTCTCACCGTTTTCTTCTATAATCAAAATACCAAACCTTCTTTGATACGTACCTATACGTATATTTTCTCGCCCACCTTCTGGGTCAGTACTTTCATTTCGTTCACCTATCTCTACAAACTACGTCATTATCTTCCTCTTCTCAATAATGGCGGGAAAACATAGCCGTCTACAGAGAAACCTAGTATATAAGACAAGTGCATATATAAAGATTGGGATTTTCACTTTTTTTTTAGGTGAGTCTAGCTCCTATATTATATCCGTGATACTGGTAATCTGTGAGTAACTGGCTGCAGTAGATCTAGAATAATTTATTGATTGTAACAAGGAAGCAAGATAGTTTATGTACAAGCCGGAGACAGAAGACGTGCTTAGAGCGTGCAAGTTTCGGGAACATAACCGCAAGCTTGGGGTTACCATAAATAAAATTAAGCTTTCTGCTAGAATTTTAGGAATGTGATGAATATTTTCATTTTTATATTTATTTATTTTACCCTCAGGGCCAAATGGCTTTTCTGAGGGGGGGGGGGTATTTACTATAAAACACTTAAATGAACAAAAAGCAGTGCATACGGCTAGATCATACGAATAAATTTCTTGAAATACAATGTCTGCTAATACACTATATATTATTACTTGTTAGGTAACACAACACCGAACCTTATTACACAATGTTGGCTGTTGCAACAAAAAAAAACTTAATATACATTGTTAGCTAATCAATCATGAAATACGTTGTTATCGCCAATAGCAGCAATGCCAACGGGAAGTCTGTTCCACTCCTTTGATGTGCAAGGCAAAAATGAATTCAAGAAAATTTTCGTGTTGCATGAAGTGATGCCTAATTTTTGATGGTGGCCAATGTGGCGAGATATATGCTGTGGACGAAGTAGTACTTGGTCATGCAAGATGGGATGATAGTATATCTTGTGAAATCGAGTTATACAAAGACTTTCAGGCGATATGCCAAGGAAGGGAGTGCAAGGGGTGTTTTCATGGTTGAAATGCTCGCGGTTCTGTTATAATTGAACAATATAAAACGAACAGAGTTATTTTGAACAAGTTCAAAAGAAGTTACCACATTATTATATGTGGGGCACCACATGGCTGTAGCATATTGTAGTTAAGGCGTATTAGTGTTTTGTAAAGCTGCAGTTCTAAACCACGTGGAGCATTAAAAACGTTACGTCGTAAATAGCCATGCATGCAATTAGCATTTATTTATTTATTTATTTATTTATTTATTTATTTATTTATTTAGTTATTTATTTATTCAGAAATACCCTGCTTTGCCCAAAGGTGTGTAAGGGGGGGGGGG